GAGAAAAGATTGGGGGTGGGGGCTAGGTAGCAGTAGAAAGGCATATTTGTAAGGAACTAGAGAAAGGAACTATGGTGGAGAGCATCTGGGGAAGGTCAATGGAGGGAGAACCAGAAGTGATTTTGACATCAGAGTAAACTACAGACTATCTAGACAAGGGAAATTGATGAGAAGTTTGGGAAATAGATCACAATGGATGATGTAGAAGTTTTTGGGGTCATTCATTTATCTAGACATCTACTAGGATTCTTTTTCTTCCAGTAGCAAAGTAATAAATGACTTCTTGATTTGTCTTAATAATAATTTTATCCTTCAAATGGTGAAGGAACCAACAATAGGACATGCTATATTGGATTTTACTTTCATTAATAGAGAGGAACTGGTTATTGGGGTGGCAATTACAGGAAACTTGGGGTAAAATGACCTCTCCCTCCAAGAGTATGTGATACAGGACATAGAAGCATAGTCTGATGTACCCAAGACTTTGGGAAAGCAGATTTCAAAGGGTTCCAAGGAAGGATAGAACCATGGGAAGTCATTTTGAAGGACAGGAAACCCTCAAAAATGAAGTTCTGAAAACATAGAGGGAAACAATTCTAATGAGGATGGAAAACAGGGAAATCACCAACCAATTAAGATTTTAAAAAGATAGGTATGGAAGATGGAAGCAAAGACCAGTAATAGAGCATGGAGTGGTCTTAAAAATAGTACCAATAGTGCTAAATCTCATAATGAACTGAGGCTGGCAAGAGAAGCCATGGAAAATAATGGTTTTTTTTAAAGCTACATAAAAAGAAAAAGGAGGACCAAAAAAATGGATAGAATGGCTGCTTGGGGTGGATGAGATGAAGATAACTTAAAAGGTGATGCTAACATATTGGATGAGAGAGCCAGGATCCAAAAGGCTCTTCACCCAGTTAGAGCATTGGTCTGGGTTTAATATTACCAATATTACAGATGATTTTATGGACCAGAAGAGTTGGGCACTTTCCCCAGGAATGAAGCATTTTAGTGGAAACAAAAGTCACCCCTTAAGAAGCTAAGGGATTTCTGTGGAATCCTTTGGGATGAAGATTTGCAAAACTGAAAACAATAATTCCAATAGATTTCTACTGGACTCTAAAATTATATAGCCTCTACTAGCGCCATATCTTAAAGAAAGGCATTTTCTAAAAAGGGCAAGATATTAAGGTGATTATCCTGAACAACAATGAGTCATTCTTAGAATCTATGGCTTCTTAGAATGAAATAAGGTGACTGGAAATTTTACTGGGGAAAGAACTAAGTCTTAGAGAGACAGATCATAGTCCTTCAGGACCTTCAAGGGCTGTTGTTGTTGTTGCTGGTGCTGCTGTTGTTTTTAGGAAAATAACAGATTTGGACTAAATAAGGTCTATTTCAGCTCTAAAGTTCTAGAATCCAATGAACTTTCAATTCAGTGAAATCCTTGATTCTGAAGATCGGTTGTTAGTATGTTAATGTGTTATCAGTGGCTCACCTATCTGCCAAACCTTACAGAAATCCACAGGGGCTAAGTGCCATCACTGTCTATTGGCCCAGTCACACTTTCCTTGGGCTATGTGTGTCATCCATGGAACACCCATGTTTAGTTCAGGGAGGCTATCTCAAGGCAATCTGTCCACTTTCTGCTTACTGCACTCAATAACTAACATTTTTCTGAAATAGCCAACCTAGATTTGCTTTAATCCTGCTGCCATCATCATTTTCCTTCTTCCTCCTTCGTCTCCTCCTTCATCCTTTTCTTCTTCTCTCTCACCAAGTTTGGAAGTGTAAGACCTCACCTCAGACTCACAGGTCTGATCCTACTCTGACTGAGATAGAAGCTTTGACTTCTTCCATTTTGGACCTGGACCATTTCACTCTGGTGCTCCCCTCCTCCCAGGCACTCACCACATTAATGCCAAATTTAGGGAGGACACCCAATCAGCTTAGCCCACTGCAGCTCAAAACTCCTGTAGCTCAAGAGATCTGACAGCCTGTTTCCTTGGCAGCAGGGGTGACAAATGTACAACCACAGCCGGAGCTCAATCCTGCCATTTTCGAGAATGTTAGAAAGTGCCAACTAAACACAGCAATGGTAAGGTCCTTATGGATGAGAGCTCCTGGAATTGTTATTGTTGGTGATCCCCTAAAACTGCTGTAAAGTAGGGAAGGGGAGAGGTCAAGTACCAAAGTATTAAAGAATAAGGAAGAAGAAAGTGTCAGTGATTGGCAGCAGGGTAATAAGAAAGAAATGCATTTGCAGCTTCTCTTTGCCCTGTCCTAATGCTTTATCATGACACAGAGGTGAACCTGAATTACCTAAGACTGTGTCAATGATGCACAAGCTTTGCAAGGTCCTACCAAGTTTGAAAGGTTTGAGGATGGATATAATAAGGCTGTCATTAAAGGTCTAGCTCTAGATTAATTAAGTTTGGCCAGGCTTACCCTTGGAAGGTTAGCTACCAATGATTAATTGTTTTTGTCCACAGAAGCTTACAAAGACCATCCAGTAGGGCATGGAGGAATTGCTACCTTCACCAATTCATTCATTCAATAAGCATTTATTGAGAACTGATTATGTGCCAAGCACTGTGCTAGATGCTGGGGATGCAAAGACAAAAATGGTCCCTGCCCTCAAGGAGCTAACCTTCTATTGAGGAAAAAACCAACAACATGGACATAGGTAAGAAAATATAAAACACAGGCAAACAAAATACAAATAATTTCTTGGGGGAAAGGACACTAGCAAATGTGGGGCTCAGGACAGACCTCATGAAAGTTGAAGGGAGAAGTGAGGAGAAAGTTCATTCCAGATACAGGGGACAGCTTGTGCAAACACATGGAGATGGGAGGTGGAATGACCTATGTGGGGATGACTAAGGAGGACAGTTTGGGTGGAACATCAACTATGTGAAGTATAGTAATGTGCAGCAAGTCTAGAAAGGTAGCCATATTGTGAAGTGCTTTATATGCCAAATAAAGGAGTTTGTATTTTATCCCCAAAGTAAAGGGAACCACTGCATTTTCTTGCTCATGGGAGTCCTGTGCTTTAGGTAGAACAATTTGACAGCTATGTGGAGGATGGATCAGAGAGGTGGGAAACTGGAGGCAACAAGGCCAATTTGGAGGCTACTGTAATAGTTCAGATGAGAAGTGATGAGGGTCTGAATCAGGGTGGTGGCCAGGTGAGTAGAGAGAAAGGAAATTAGCATAAGAAATATTGTGGAAGTTATATCAAGACTTGATGACTGATTGGACATAGGGGATGAGGGAGAAGAAGGAGTCAAGGATGATACCAGATTGTGAACATGAGTGACTTAGAGTGATCTCTGGTGCTCTTAACAGAAACAGGGACTTTAGAAAGAGGAATGGGTTTTGGGGGAAAGATAATGGGTTTTACTTTAGATATGTTGAATTTAATGCCTACAGGACAACCAGTTTGAAATGTAGGCAGTCAGTGATGAGATAATGGAGCTCAGGAGACTAATAATATCAGTAGAAGAATCTTCTACACAGAGTTGATAGCTGAACTCACGGGAGTCGATGAGTTCACCAAGAGAGGGTGTAGAGAGAGAAGAGAAGAGAGCCGCAGGATAGAGCCTTGGAGTCCATCCACACTTAGGGGGTGGGATGTGGATCATGATCTGACAAAGGAGACTGAGAAGAAGCAGTCAGACAGATATAGGTGGAGAACCAGCAGAGAGCTGTGTCATGAAAATCCAAAGAAGAAAAAGCATCCAGGAGACGAGAATGGTTACAAGGTCAGATGCTACAGAGAGCACTCCAGTTTGCATCTACTGCCCTACCTGGTTTCAACTCCATGGAACAAGATGGCCCCATGCCAGATACTTCTGGTGTCTCATCCTCCACCCTTCCCTATCTCCTTTTGTGTGTTGTCTTTCCCTTTTAGACTGTGAGCTCCTTGATGACAAGGACGACTTTCTTTTTATTAATTGTAACCCCAGTGCTTAGTATAGTGCTTGGCATATAGTAGATGCTTAATAAATGTTGGATTGGAGACATCAAGAAGGAGAAAGACTTAGAAGAGACCACCTTAAGAAATAACTGGAGGGAATACTTATTCTGATTAAATCAATAATTTCTTAAAATTATTGCAGTGTACATATTGATAGTATACTGCTAGAATTAATTTTCTGTACTGGAGATTATGCTTAGAACAAGAATCTAATAGCCAGAGGTAGCAAGGAATATTTTCACTCATTTCACTTCTCATTCATTTAGCTTAACAGTCAGCTTTGTCATCTTCTGCAAATGTCATTTTTAACTCAAAGCAGGAGACCACAATTTGCATACTAATATTCCCATAATTACAGCTGAGCCACTTTAATATAGTTCTCAAAGCTCATATTTTTGCAATATAATACATTATAGTTATGGAGTTTATAAGCAAGGCTATGTGTCATTTGCCTTAGGTCAGGACCACATCATCTCCTAATCGTCAAAAAAGCATGATTAAAATTAAATGCAATGGGTGTTAAAACTGAACTTTTAGTACTGTTGGTCCTCAGAGGCACTCCTTACACCATTTGGGCCACCCTTTAGCAATCTGTTTATACTCAAGGCTTTCGCAGTTATTGGGTTAGTTACGGAAACCTTGTCATCAGCATTTTCATTCCTGGCCCTGTCATCCCAAGAGCAATCATTATCAAATTGTTCCAGTTATAAGACTCCATGATTCACATGGCAAACACCAAATAGGAATTTGATTCCCATTTTTCTGGCTCATCTGTACAGAAGCATCATCAGGTGCTCAATCATGAAATCTTTGTCTTCTGTAATTATCTTACCTGAGAAGCAGAAAACACTGCTCTTAATTGTTTTCAGGTCTTATGTATATGTTTATTGGGAAAGAAGGAAGTCCCTTTCCATATGAGTTTTTCATGTCCCAGGAATTTCAGCATCTTTCCATTGAATATAAAATGTTCATTTTCTCACCTAAGGTATGCTATAGTAGCGAATTAAAATATCACTCAGCATGAGCTTTCTCCCATTTTATTAAACCGGGTATTAATGCTGAATTCAAATGGCCTTGGGAAAACACACATTTCAGATTTGTCGTGTATTTAAACCATGTTAGTTACCAATTACCAGATGATGCTGGCGTCTCTTAAAATCTCTTGATCAGACCAAAAACAACAAAGTAAAAAAGCTTGTTATGGTCCTTCTAGGAACTATGAGATAATTTAGTGGAAGTTGTATGAAATTCTCACGAGATCACTTTGCTGTGAGCATTCGGTTGAAAGACAGAGAAACATCATTTGAACGCCTTTCTTCCCTGGTCAGCTTCTTGAGGGAAGTTTGGGTAGTGCAAAGACAAGTTCTATCTCTTCTTCCCCACCTCCCCACAAAAAAACCCCTCCCAAGAGTACAAAAGACCTCATGATATTCCATAGCTATGTTACAGGGAAGTGCTACAACCCAGTAATGTAAATAGAATAGGATATAACTCATATGCACTACACAGTCCTGGAGGCACCCAGGAAGGGAGAGGTGGCTTCTGGTGAGTCAAAGTGCCTGCCGTACACTTTAGAAACATGCTCCCCTGCAGGGGAACCCCAAAGTCCAGTGTCTCTGCAGATCAGATTGAGTCCCAGGGGAGAAAAGGCAGCTGGTTGATGCGTGGGTCATGTGGGTGCCACCCAGTCGGGACTCTTGGGGGCTTTGCACGTGTGCACATCCACCACCTCCAAACAGTCCTGACAGCGCACAGCACAGCACCAATGGAACTTACACTCACATTTGGTCATTCGAGTGACCCGGGATGTGTCGTAGCCCCTTCCGCAGCACATGACCTCACAGCTGTCCATGCCACGGGAGGTCAGGTTGCACACACGACCTGCAGTACCCAGGGAACCTAGAAAGAAGTCACAGAAGCTTCATTACAAAGGGGAGATGGAATTTGCATGATGATAGGAGCGCCGCCTGGGGTTGATGATGCTTGTAAGTGACCTGTAAGGTCCCTTCCGACTCTAAATCTATGATGCTAAGATCATATACCTAATCAGAGACTGAAATGAAGGAGGAAAAGTCATAAAATCAATGCAGGCAATCTTCAGCACTCATGCATTTACTTTTTGTGACTTCAAGCACTTGTATGATTTTATTATTAACCCCATTTTCAATTTTGCACTGGTGTGACACGCACAAGTGTATGGAGTAGATGGTATCCTACTAGGCACTTCTCTGGTCTTATTTATCCTACCATTGCAAAGAGTTCCATGTACAATAATTTTGTTTTCATTATTTGCCTTTAAAACTCAAGTTTTATGTGGCAATTATGCCCCCAAAGTATAGTGCATATCTTTTGGGCTCTAAGCACAATCATGTAAAGTCAGTGATATGGCTTAGTGAGAAAATAAAGGTGTTAGATAAACTTCATGCTGGAATGTCTGCAGCTGCTGGTGGTGTGAGTTTGGGGTTAATGAAGCAACTATTTGTTGCAAAGCACAATGCCCTCACACCACCTTCTGACACAGTGGAAGGTAAGATTAATGCTAAAAAAAAGTTTTAGTTTTAAGAATTTTATTTGTTGTACAGTATTACTATAGATTTCATGTGTTATGAAAAATGAATATTGTCAGAACTCAATGTTTTTTTTATTGAGATGTTAGCACAAAAGGTTACAGAATTCTAGGGAATTACTAGTGAGAAAAAACGTTTTGCATGTTACCAGTTTTATTTTGTGGACTGAATTTTATGGGTTAGTTCATAGTTACTGTGTTAGAAAAAGTGCACATTTTCAGAATTAATGTTTTATTATAAAGTTATAAATTAATGTTTTGTCATGCAGAAAAGTATATTTTCAGCACTTTTTGGTTGTTGTGGGAGCCTAATCCCCTATTTCCCGTAGGTTCAATATAATAACACTTGCATTTTTTACTTTTATGCCATTTTCTAGGAACATTACCCCTGCAAAAGTTCAGGATTGATTATGCCAAAAGGTAGACAAAAGAGAAAACAGGAGCAGCTGTGGAGTCCTGAGCAAACAGAAAAGGGAAAAGAAACCCCAAGGTTTTAATTTTTTCCAAGGTTTTTAAAAATTTTTTTTAATTTAAATACTGTTCCATTACTTCAGAGCTAATACAAACCAAGCACATCTTTCTTCCTTTCTCCTCCCAATGTCCCATCCGATTTCTTTTTCCCTTTTGTTCCATCTCTCCTAGATTAAAAACAATAGACGGACAGGGGACGTGGTCAAAGTAGACCATCTTCATCTTCAACTCTTGTTAATGATGGTTAGAGTTTCCTATGAATCAATCACGGTTTGGAAACCTCAAATTCCTCCCCTGAAGACTCTTCTCTTTCTTTCTAGATCTGCTTGGTCCCAAGGGGAAAGTCAATATGAATGAGAAAGATCTGAGAAATAGAAATCGAGACAGAGTTTCTCTGAGGACATCAGAGGAGAATGCCTTTGATTGTATATACACTCCTTTTTCCCACATTGGAACTTGGAAATGCATGGACAGTCCACAGATATCATTGATGTTATCTACATAGGTAGGAGTCCCTAGGGGATTATTCAACATCGGTGAGTGAAGTTGGCATAAGTACTCAATCACATTAGCAATTTAGAATGTGAAATTCACACGCCTGGTGAATTCATCCACTTTTATTAATAAGGATGATAAATTTTCTAGGAGGCAGTTTGTCCTGAAAAGGGACTCGCGAGAAAGAAAGATAATTCATTTGACTTCCTTTTGAAAAAGTATCTCCACAGGTACCCATTCTCTCACAAGGATATTAAGAGAAAGCAGAGGCAATCCCAGAAGAGCCAAGCTTTTTATTAAAGGAGAAGTATTATGGCATAAAGGATAGGGCATTGAACCAGAAGTCAGGAAGAAATGAGTGTGCAATCCTGCCTCAAACACTTATTGGGCAGGTTGTGTAACCCCTCTGTGCCTCAGTTTCCCTATCTGTAAAATGAGTTGAACTTAATGACCTCTAAGGTCCCTTTCAGCTCTAAATCTATGATCTCATGACTCAGATCAAATCCAGACAAAAAGAAAGCCAATTTGTTTCTAGTTCTTTGGTCTTTCACATATAAGGGATAAATTCCCTCCGGTCAAAGATGGAAGATGTCCTTTTCTCCAGATCTATCTGCCTGATCATTTGATGTTGGGCCATGTCTGCAGTATGTCAAACATCTGGATGAAAAGGGCTACAAGTTTAAAGGTTTCCAAATATCCATAGTTGGTATAATGGAAGACAAATGACTGGATAACAGATAATTTCCTATTTTCATCTAGATTTCTTATCCTAAAGAAGTATTATTTAAGGTTAAAGGTCAGTGAACCACATCTTCATTCTCCTTTCATTTTTCATCTCTTCAGCAATGATTCTCGGGGAATTCCTCCGTGAAGAATCGGCCCTGATCACCCTTTTACCCTCTCTAGTGATATGCCTGAAAAGGTGTCAGTTAAATCTTAGGATCATAGCTGGAAGGGACCTTTTAGACACAACACCCTCATTTTCTAGATGAGGAGACTGAGGCCTAGAGGAATAAAGTGACTTGTCCAGGGTCATACAGCTAGTAAGTGGAAGAACCAGGATTGGAGCCCCAGAGCCTCTGCCTCCAAATCCCTGCATCTTCCATAATACTATGCTGCCTCTCCACATAACTTTGCTCCTCCACCAATGCATCACCAGTGCAAGATGGGGAGCAGAAATAAGGGAAGAGATGGCGGTAGAATCTCCATATCTGATCCATGCATGGTCCTCTTCACTCAACCTAATCCACTTATTTGGGGCTTCCTGGGAAACCCAGGAAGTGTTGACATCTCAGGGTGTGTCTATTACCAGAACAGCAGAATACTCAGGCAAATGTGGACGCTTAGCCCTTTGGATTTTGAAGGTGAGCACTCCTCCTAGATGAAAGCCTCCCCTGGGTGCAAGTAGCAATGGTTATATCAGTGGGCCTATGGGGCTGGTTTGTTTCTTGAAAATTGAATTTTGAGCAGAACCAGGAGAACACTGTACATAGTAACAGCAATATTGTAATGATGGTCAACTATGAAAGGCTTAGCTACTCCGATTAATATAATGATCTACAACAGTTCCAAAGGATTCATGATGAAAAATGCTATCCACCCCCAGAGAGAAAGCTGATGAACTTTGAGTGCAGATTGAAGAATATTTTTTCTACTTTATTTTTCTTCCTTTTTTTGCAACATGGCTAATATAGAAATATATTTTGCATGACCTCACATGTATAATGGGTATTATATTGCTTTTCAACAGCTGGGGGAGGGACAGAAGGGAGGAAGACAATTTAGAACTCAAATTTTAAAAAAAATGAATGCTAAAAAAAAGAAAGTAATTAAGTGGTTTTTTTTTCCCTTCAAGGTTATTCCAAATTAAAGGACCAGCTGTGCTGGTGCTAAAATCGCAGGCATTCAAAGATTGTGTTTATTTTTATACCTACAGGTAGAGAGGAGGAAGGAACTACTTGTTCCTCAAAATAGACTAATTTTTTTCTGAATAGAATGTTCATTTCCTGCTCAATTTATATTTCATGTTAAAGGCTGCCATAACACCTTTTTATGACAAGTGTAAATTTGCTGTTCACTTACACATTCATTCACTAAATTAATCAGGATTTTCAGTGAGGTTCAAAGTTCTGGTATGTTCAGGTGGAATACAATCTATTTGACATTACTGTTCAGGCTTCTATTAATAAGAGTTCCTTTTATATAATAACTTTACTGTTCAATAACATGCTTTCTTCATGACAGCTCTGTGAGGTACAAATAGAATCATAAAACTCCAAAATGAGAAGGGACCTCAGAGGTCCAATTCCTTAGTATGAATTTCCTCTAAAATATCTCTAACTGGAGTGTGCCAGTAAATGTTTAACAACTGGCATGCTAAAAAAAATTCCTTTAATTTGTATTAATGACATTTTTTCCATCACTCCCTTAAGTCTAGACAATCAACAAAATAATGTTGTCGTGATTTGTACGGTGTTTGTTGATTTCTGAGGTGCAAACGTTTTATGATTAAAATTTAACAATAGCCATAAGAGCTGGCTCTAGCCCATTCCTGCCCCTAACCCATAGTCACCCAAACTCTCCTTGGAGATCTCCAATATCTGGAAACCAATTACTTCCTGAGGTAGTTCTATTCCATTTGGGGATAGCTCTAATTGTTCTGAAGTCTTTCCCCATATTGAGTTGAAATATACCTCTATGCAAATCCATCCACAGGTCTTAGTTTTGTTTTCCAGGGCCACTTTCATGGCCATTTTATGGATAAGGAAACTGAGACTCTGAGAAGTTGACTTATGTTATTCAGATACTAGAGCCTGAGTATGAGAACCAATACTCAACTAAATCTCCCAACTCCAAATCCAGTGGTTTTTCCATTATAACAATATGCCTCTCTTGAAAATGTTCATGTTTTAGTGCATACTAAACATGAAAAGCAACTCTGAATCTTGAGTTTACATTTCTGGACCCATTTTACAATCCACCTGCCCTATTAAACCCTATTGGCTTTAAATGAATAAATATTTATACAAATAGCCACACTTTTAGAGATCCTACTTCCTTTTCCGTAAGCTCTTTTCTGATGTGGGAGCAGGAAGGTGGCACAGTGAATAGAGTACCAGACCTTAAGTAAGGAAGACCTGAGTTCAAATCTAGGCTCATTCACTTACTAGCTATGTGACCTCAGTTTTCTCATCTTTAAAATAGGGATAGTAATAGCACCTACCTCTCAGGGCTGTTGTGAAGATCAATTGAGATTATATTTGTAAAGCACTTAGCACAGTGGCTGGCAAATACTAGGCACTATATAAATGTAAACTATCATTAATATCACCATCATCATTGTCATCATCATCATTCTATAACTCAA